AGCTCCAGTTCAGGTCGCCAGAACCTGGGCCAGATAGCCCAGGACACAATGGAAGGCTGACAAAACTCTGGCTGCACTAGACTACGATGCAGCCAGGTGGGGACTGTGGTGTGGGTCCTGTCGGGGAAGGGAGGAGAAATCCTCAGCCAGACCCCCCCCCCCTCGCCCCCAGAAGATCGCCTGTGTGAAGGCAAAGGAGGACAGCACAGGGAGCTGTCCTGGGGCTTCCCACCTTCAGATCTTGCTTGCTGGCCTCGTAGCCTGGAAAACCATGACCACAATGATGGTTTTGGCCAAAACAGAGGACATAGCCACTGAACCCAGCTGCTAATTAGGTCTGTTGGAGGAGGCAGGTAGCCAGGGTAGGGCGGCTGATGCAGAGCAAGGGCAGAGGAAGCAGGGCGTGAGGAAGGTGAGAAGGGTGGCTCAGAGTCTGGTTGTCRGCTCTGACCATGGCGGTGTTTCAGTGCCTCACGAACAAAACCAGGACACAACTGCAAGGGCAGGACAGAGCCTTCATGCCAGAGTCAGCCCAAGGGTTCTTTGGGCTAAGAAGGACTCCTTTTGGATAGGCAGTATTCCCTCTTCCTTTTTGGATAGTGGCCCTCAGGCCACAGCCTGCATTGGGAACAGAAAGGGTGTCTTAGAAATAGGCACATTGGGTCAGAGCCCAGTGCCCAGAGCCACCTCCACCACAGCCCTGCTTTGACTGCTCTCTTGGCTGTTTGGTTAAGAGAAAGCATCGTGTTTCAAGGAAAACAAAAGTTCACCAGCTGCACCAGTAATGCTGGGGACAAGTCATCCTGGAGAAACCTCTATTGAAATGTATGAAATAACTGGATTTTTCTCTCTGCCTCTGCCTGTGGACAACACACGGCTTTCAGATAGACAGATAGGCAAGCAGATCTAGATAGGTAGCTAGGCCAGTAGATTCAAGCCCATCCTTGTAAATAGATGTATGAACTGACGAATGCAGAGGGAAAGCTTGAGAGGTCCTTGGTAGAATGACAGTTAACCCTGATGCTAGTGAGCACTGGCAGTTGCCACGTCACCTACCCACTCCTGGGGACTTCACACTGGTGTCATCTACTTATTCATTCTTTCATTTACTTTTCTACTTTTCTGCAAGTTTACATTGCAGCATGTTCCTGCCAGCTAAAGGAGCCTTCCTGGGCAGCCATGGGTTTTCCAGTCTCTACAGGGTGCTGCCCAGGGCCAGCGTCCTCCAGTGGGACTTGTAGGCAGCCTATCTAAATCTTCTAAGTCTCTCTCTCGAGAGTGGCTTCTCCCCCATGTGATTCCAAGGCCTCGTGCAGACATGACATGTTCACCTACACAGAGACCCAACCACGAGACTCCAGATTTGGAGGTAACAGATTGGAGGTGGCTAGACTGCACACAGACTGTACAGGCAGATTGAATCTCGGGGGCATGCTTCTCAGCCCCAGCCTTGGCCAAAAGGACGGATCTGTGTGCTCCCTAGTCAGTCCTGGACCCTGACCCCCACCTGCAGAGAGACAGGAACACAGTGTGCACCCACCAGTTAGACGCTGGTGAGGTGCCGCAGGGACAAGTGCAGTGGTGGCACCTGCTCAGGGCCTGTTCTGAGTGTAGGGCAAGGATAGTCTTGGCAACACGTTCAAGCCCCACCCCCAGGGCAGGCCGAGGACCACTCTGAGGTGCCTAATACTTCCTGGTTGGGCCAACCCCACTGGGGGCAGGAGGGCAAGGGAAGAAAGGGGATCTGTCTTTGAGGCACTAGGTCATCTCCCCAGGAGGTGGTTTTATTCCAGTGGCCCTTTAGCCAACCACAGACACCAAACCCGCCAGCCCAGCCTGCAGCATCTTACTGGGCAAGATTACCAGTGGTCAAGGCCTCACAAAGAAAGTGAGAGTGAACCATCTGTCTGTGGCCGAAGCCAGTGGTACTCAGCAGGGGTGACTGTGCATTTCCAAGGGACATTTGGCCCTGAAGCTTTTTATATCGTCATATTTGGTGGAGCTGCTCCTGGCACCCAGAGCCCAGAGATCTTAAACACCATAATGTGCACAGGGAAAAAGAAAAAAAGACCCAGATTCAAATAAACTCTGACCATTTCTAGCTGGTAACCTTGGGGGTATTAATCCCTGTGCGTCAGTTTATACACCTGGAAAATGGAGATATTTGATGAAAAAACTCAGAAGAGGATTGAAAGAAGCAAGACCTTGAGGGCCATCTTAAATTTTTTTTTGTTGTTGTTGTTCAGGGACACACAGCCCATCAGTTCTAGGGTGCTGGTAGTTAATAAGAATAGTCAATGGTCAGCAATCAGAAGTGACACCCCTCCCCCCCTGGTTTTGTTCAAATGCAGAAACCACACCTGGAGGTTAATGAGTAGAAATTTTAGGGGGCACCCTCTAGGCCTATTTCAGATGTAAAAGACCTGAGGCTCCCCAGTGGTAACTCCTCCAGCCAGCTCCTTTGACCCAGCAGCAGGGAAATGGAAGGTAGAAGTGAACCCAAATAGGACTTATAGGAATGCTTGAAACTCAGGCTAAAGGACATAATAGTCTTGATACTTTTTCAATCCTTTTTAACACAGCTTTTGATCAGTGCTCAAACCCAAAACCTATATAAATCTTTAAGTCAGCACATCAAAATTGTGTCCTGCTTCCAGGGCCCTCCCACATCGCAGGGTTTCTCTCCTCACTTAAATCCTGCTGTTACTTCCCTTTCCTGATTGTCTATTTTATTCTTCAAGTCTGTGAGACAAGAACCAGGGAGGAAATTGGCCACGAGTTACTGGGGTTTGCTGCAACACAACTGCTGGCTTCATAGAGCAGGTGTTATGCCAGGTTCCTGGGACCCCATAGACCTCCAGGAGAGAATCCGATGCAATCACTCAAGAGCCTTTATTGCAAGCTTGAGCCTGGACTCACAACCGTTCCCAACGCAGCGGTCCCAGGGAGTGAGTCCCGGTCCTTTTTCCAGTGAGATTTTACAGGTTTTGGGGGAATACTGTATTCGTCACAACATCACACAGCAAATCATTCCATACCTCGGGAAAATCAAACAACTCTTAACATTGATTAGCACATTCAGTGGCGGGAACAAGTTGGGTAGGGGTGATTGGTTAGTACAAGAAGGGGATTTTTTTGAACTGATTGGTTTAGGCCACGAGGGGTGCACATGCTGAACTACATGGTCTCCCAACTTGTTATCAACCACCATAAACTACTGGGGGGTCATCTGGCATCCCAGGTATTTCCCTGTTTCGTGCTGATTGGAGGTTGCTAGGGGGGTTGCTATGGGTCCTCACCTAGCCTGGCTGAGTTAGGGACACCTGGCGCCTCAGACCTCTCCTGTTATTTACAGACAAACAACTCAGCAGGGTGGGTATGTAATTAGGAGTGCTCTGTGGGTTTTTTCCAAGGACAAGGGTCACACCCCCTTCCTTAGGACAGGCTTTAAGGTAGAAGCTGCTGTTATTCATTTATTCTTCAAAAAATGGAGTCACATCAGTTTCTCACAGGAAAATCCAGCTTTACTATCAGCAACCCTCACAAAGCTCCTGCTGAAGATCCCTCCTGCTGTGTGCAGCTGCTAACACTAACGGGGTATTTCAGTTGCAGACATCAGCAGCTAGAAGTGAATATCCAGCATCTTAAAGTTCTGGTTTCAGTAGCAACACTAAGAGTCCCAAGGGTCATATATATTAGCTGCTCTTTTTATTATCTTTTTTAAAATTATATTTTATTATCTTTTTATTATCACCACCGGGTTACACAAATGAGAAGCCAAAACTAGTCCCCCCATATATAAATATATATAATATATATGAAATATTATATATAAATAAATATAATATATATATGTTGTAGTTGGACAGGATACCTTTATTTATTTTTATATGGTGCTGAGGATCAAACCCAGCGCCTCTCACACACTAGCGGGGAAGGCTGAGCCACAACCCTGCCCCTCCCCCCATACATTGACTCTTAATACTGCTATGGAAATCAAGACCACAAGAGACTAAGAGGTAGAGAACTCATGTTTAGTTACACAGAGGAACTAGTGCTCTTAAGTTCTGGGCCTCAAGTTGAGGTTACATGGGGCTTTTATAGGAAATTTGACAATTTCTGTTAACCATTACAACATTGGTGGGTTTGAATTCTTGGCCTACCTGACCAAAGACCAGGCAGAGGGAATTTATGGTAAGTGGTGTAGAAAAAAGACGGTTATCTGTCATCTGTGTTAGCCCAAAGTGGCCTTCACCACAGGCAGCAGTAGTTCAAGATAACTTGAGTCTACCTCCTTAAGAGCTTTATTTCTAAGAAGTAAGTCTACCAGGTTATAGTTTAGATGGCAGTTAATTGGTCAAGCATTAAGTGACGTAGCCACATTCCTATAGAGCTCAAAGTCACAAAGTGTAAGAAACAAGACTATTTGACAGGCACCTGTTCAATCTCTGGCTTTGAAAACCTGTCCCAGGGACATCCTGTGCTGCATGGCCACCAGCCTCCTGGGAGTCATCCAGTGGATGGAGCTCTTGCCTGGTTTTGTGGCAGCCCTGGACTGCAGGTGTTGACCGCTGTGGCCTGTGTGCCCAGCCAAGCCAGTTTGAACCTCCACTACCTCAACCAGATCCTGAATGTCAAAAAGCAGAGTGTCTTATCTCATGCCTTTGAGGAACTCAGGATCTTTGGGCAACCCAGGCTCTCTAGAGGAAACCGCCTATGAAAGACCAGCAGAGGAAACGCTGGACGCCTTGGCAGAGTTTTCTGAAGACCTTGCAGGCAAGCCCTGTACACTGGAGGACTGTCTCTTTGGGAGTGGTGTCCTAACAGTTAAACTGGGGGGAGATCTAGGAACTTGTGTGACCAACAGGTAGACCCCAAACAAACTAATCTGATTATCATCTCCTTCCAGTGGACCCAAGCAGTAGGACTGGACTGAGAAAACCTGGGTGTACTCCCAGGATGGTGTGTCCCTCCACAACCTGCTGGCCACAGAGCTGACTGAAGCCTTAAAAATAACTGGACTTATCATCCTTGGTCTATTCCAGAAAAGGCACTTAAATGGCTGCCTGCCCTCTCATAAAGACATTAACAGCTATCAGGCAAGTCCCCAGCTTCCTTCTGCAGCTGAGTGGGGGTTTTCTGTTTGTTTTGTCTTCCATTCTTGCTTTTGAGGACAGCTCTGGAAAGAATGTGTCACCTCCCACCCTGCCTGCAGGATTTGGTTTAATTTCTAGTTTATTTGGATTGTCTGATGTCCTGCTTCACGTGATACCCCTATACCCGTACCTTAATAATGACTTTACAAAAAGAAAAATAAGGAAAAATTCCCCGGGGGTGGGCGGGGAGGAGAAAACCTGTCCGGGGACATTTACAATCCAATAGGTAGGGACCCATGGTTAATTTAGGTTCCCTAAAGAGAAGCTGACAGAGGTGAGGGGGAAAAGACAACCCTTGCCTCAGGCATTGGTTCTTCATCATAATGTTCTTATAATTTCACGTAATAATCAGGTCTGGTTCCTCCATCTCCATACCTAGTTTCCAAAACTCACAGGGCCACGTGCCTGAGAGTGCAAGCCCTGGGCTGTGCGCTCATCTGAACCACCACAAAAACTGCGTCTCAACACACCTGGTCACAAAACGTGGCTTTCCACGCATAAATCACGAAAACTGGGATCTAAAGAGGCAGCCAATGAGGCATCTCAGGCTTTCTGTGTTGCACCTGCAGCACTGAGTCCTGGTGCAAACGCGGGCAGACAAGTGCGGCCAGTGCCCCCGCCACACACGCACACTCTCCACCGGTGAGCACCCGAGCCCAAAGGGCCGCACGGGACTCCATCTCTGTGGGGCGTGGAAGCTAGCGCAGAGCTCTGCGTTTGCGCAAAAGCCTGATGGATGCTGAGGAACCCGCGTCCATCAAAAACGGGACTCTGCATGCGCGCGCAGCCACTCGTCACCTCGCCGCCGCCACGCCTGCTCCCCGCCGCGCAGGCGCAGTTCACAGGAGCGCGTGCCCGGGGGCTTCTGGGAAGCCTAGTCCGGGATCGCGCAGAGCAGCCCGGGCCTCCCCGTCTGCGAAGGGGCGGACTTGTCTCCTGGGCCCTCTCTCGGTCGGCTCTTGCCACACTGGACAGATGGGAATTCGCGCGGCTGGAGCCTCCTTAGCCCCGCGTCCTGGGCGAGGCCCTCCACAGTCGTGCCGCCCGGAGGCTTCTGAGAGTTATAGGCCGACAGGTCCGTGAGTAAAGCCGCCTCGAAGCCCACCAGCCAGGGGCGCGGCCTGAGAACGCCGGCCGGACGGCGAGCAGAGAGATGGCGCGGCGAGCACATCAGGGCGGGGCCTCAGCCCAGAGGCGCGTGCACGCGGCTTCCCGCCGGGTGAGGAGCGGGTTGGCTGGCGGCTTGGGCTCCCTTCACGTGAGCGTGCTGGCGTGGCTTCACGCTGAGGGGCGGGGCCGTGGGTGGGGGCGGGCCTTCCCGCTCGGGGAAGCCCTGGGGGCGGGGCCGTGCGGGCCGGGGTCCCGGGGGCGACCGCGCATGCGCGGGGGTTATGGCGCAGTTGTGGCGGTGGGCGCCACCAGGACGCTGGTGTGGAAGTGTCTGAGAGCTAGTGCCTCGGGTGATGGGCCTGGGACAGCTCCCGATTCTGCGACAGCGAGGTGCGTTGGGTCTAGGGTCACAGGATGGTGCCACATCAAAGGTTGGTGGGTGCGAGATTCTCTGACCCGGGGTGATGGGCCCAGGATGGCCGGATTCTGCAGCAGTGCTGGGTGATGGGCCTGCGTGCTTTTCTGTTGCTCTGGTGTGTACACTTGACAATCTGATGTGGCTGTTTATCAAGTCCATGAGACCCTGCTGAGGACTGTCAGTGGCAGTGTGACTAGGTTTCTACCAGATCTTACTTAAACCTGTGGAATTGGAGGTCTTCCAGAGAATTGCACGACTGTGCAGTTGAGTTGGGCTACACTTGTAACCTGAGGCGGGAGCTAGTGTTTTGGTGCTCTTTCTGGCCCTTGGGAGTGGCCTACAGGCTAGTCTCAGCCATCAGCAAGCATACTTCCCCCTGCATACCTGAAATTCTGAATTACACATTTTTTTCAGCATCAAGCCACCGACAAAGCAAAAAGAAGTCCATTTGGGGGTTTCCTGAGTTGGAAGGAAACAATGGAAGGTTGTAATACTCCTTTCCTGTGGCTGCTGTAAAAAGTTGCCCATGGCTTCAAACTATACATGTAAGTATTCAATGTTTACTAATTGATCTTAGCTTTATTTGTTGCTGTTACTTTTTACTACTGTTGTGTTTTACAGAGAGGAGTAAAGAGTTTGTTCCTCCTCTGATCTTCTTCAGGGGACAAGTTAGAGGGCTGTGACTAGCAGAACTGTTTCTCTGTGATATGGTTCCGGCGTAAAATGATTGAATTCTGCCTCTGGTTCAGCACCCAGAGGGTGGTTGGGCAGTTTCACTGGGTGTGTTTCTCAGGCCTTGGAAGCATGAACAGGAAATGCTCTGACTGGTGGCTTAGCATGTGTGAGGCTCCCAACACCAGAAAAGTACAAAATCAGTAAGTGATCTGAAGAAAAAGGAGCCATGTTGGAACATAGGTTCTGTGGTTTGGAAGAGTACTGTCCTTTATAGGTGTAATAGAAGCATGTACAATGTAAACATTCCAGTAGCCTTGTTGAAAACAAGTGAAAAGAAGCAAATATGCCGTTAAAGTTCATTTTAATGACACGTTTTATTTAAGTCAGTGTATCCCAAACATTATCATTTAACCTGTAACAATGGAAAAAAGCATGTGAAGTATTTCATATTCTTTTTTCATACTAATAAGTCTGTTTATTTCATAAAATTGACTGTTGGAAAAATAGAGCAACACACCAAATTGTTCTAAAAATGCTTTAAATTTCATAATAGATTTTTATCTAGAGATTTTTGAATTTACTATTCAGTTGTTTCAGTAATGAATTAATTGGAATTCAAATACAGTTAATGCCTCGGTTGCACTGACCTTATTTCCATTGCTAATCACTTGTGGATTGTGGCATTTATACTGGATGGCATAGGTGTCTCTCACTTAGGCCTGAGACTCCTTTAGATTGGAGGGGGTATTTTGTGTTTTTCTCACTGTGATGCTGGAAGTTGAGCCTAGGGCCTTGTGCATGCCAGGCAAGCTCTACTGCTGAGATACATCCTCAACTCAAGGAGGTGGTTTGACCATCTCCCCTGCATTCCTCCTACCCTAGTCCACACTGTTGTTCCCCCCCATAATGTTGTCCACCCCCCCATTGTATCACTATATAACCAACTTCTTCATCTCTTGCTTCCCTCATATCCCAAACAAATTTATGGCCACTCCCCAACATTTTGTTAAATGTAAAGTTAGATTTTGTTGCTCCCTGCTCAGCCCCTCCCTTCTCTCCACTAGTGGTATCTCGCACTTAGGATCAAATCCAAACTGCTTACCACCTTCTTGATCTTTCCCTCCTGCCCTCCTGCCTCACTCTGCTTCGGTATACGACCTCACTTCCTTATTCACCAAGCCAGGCCTGCTGTGTGGCCTTTACACCTGCTGTACCTCTGTCCAGAAGCTCTTCTCTGTGACTTGGTAGCTCACATTCTTTCTGCATTCAGACCTCAGCTCACTGTCACCTTCTAGGAGAAGCCTTCCCTGACCACCACATCATTCTCTGTTCCTGTACACTGGCCCTCTTCTCTTCATAGCAGTGACCTCGGCTGTCATTGTGCTCCATGTGGATTGCTTTTCTCTGTTGCAAGTACAGGGGCACGGGAGCAGGTACTGTTTGTCCTAGCTTGTTGCTCTCCCCAGTGCCAGGGGCAGTGCCTGGCACCTTTAGATGCTTAATACATGCGTGTCAAGTGGAAAATGAGATAATAGCACATTCCTCATTTGCCTCCTGATCAGGAGCCTGCCATGATCCTAAAAGTGGGCACTGTTGGCCATGGCCTGACTTTGGGAGAGGGCAGGCTTGCTACAGATACCATGGCATCCGTGCAAACACTTGTATTTGCACGTCATGTCCAGGTGAGGGTCCAGGGGACTGAGGGACCACTCAAAAGGTCCACTTGACCCCATGACCTCTCTTCTCCCCAGCACTGCCTTCCCAGCACTCCGCCTCTCTCTGAACGTGGAGCCTGAAGGGAAGGGAAAGGATGCCTGCTGCACGGCGCAAATCCAAGGTAAGTGGCAGGTCCTCCATTCTGTTTCGTAAGGTGTAGCCATTTGCTTTCCTTCCAGAGACTTCCTGCCTGTAGGAGTCTCCTCGTCCGTCCCTGGTGTTCTCCCAGTGATATTGGAGAATGAGCGGTGAGAGGCCCAGGAAGCCGCCCAGGGCCCTGTGCCCATTCCTCAGCATCCCCAGGGGCCCTGCAGTGCTGGCAGAGTGCCTTCTCCTGAGGGGAAGACAAGAACCCTGTGGTTTCTCTGGGTGGGGACAAGGGCCCACGTGAGACCTGCGGAGGCAGAGAGGATTCAACATGTGCTTCATATTCGTCCCATTGGTGGCTTTGTTTCTCCTTGTAAAACCCACATTAGCACAGAGTAGAGTCCTCCAGCAAAGATCCAAGTCTGAGAAGAACCTGCGGGTGCTTTGCAGGCAGGGCCACACGGTGCACTAGCCTCCTGTGGTCAGCACTCCTCACCACTGGACATTGGAACAGTCTTCAGGACGGGTGTGGAACAGTTTTCCAAACAAGCACGTTTCTCTCTGTGTTGGGGACATTCATTCTTTTCTGCTTTCATGACAAATTCAAACTTGGCCTCTCAGCACGTTTCTTATTGTGCAGTCTCATGGGCCAGGGTCCAGGCACAACATGGCTTAGTGGGGTTCTCTGCTTGGGTCTTCTAGAGCTGAGGTCAAGGTGTCAGCTTTGTATTCTGATATTCATGATGTTCTCTTGGCCCCCCCTTTTCCATCTTTAAGCCAGCAACAACCAACAGCCAAGCCAGACTCCCTGTGTTAAGTGGTTAGTGTACCTGCAAGGAACTTTTTGTCGTACATAACTTATTCACATGTTCTTTAACAGAGTCTATGCTTAGGAGCTTGAATGGGGAGCCAGACTGCCAGGTCCTCCTGTGAAGTCAGCTGCCTTGCCTGTGTGGCCTCAGATCCTTCACCTGCACAGTTAACTGTGGTCCCGGGGGCAGGTCCAGGACCTGTGGTTCACAGGAGCACTAGTGAGCCAGTTTAGGCAGGTGCTAAAGATGCCTTTCTTCGTGAATTCCCAGCATGTCTGAGTTGGTCTGCTTTTTATTCAACATAATATTTTTTGGTTTATTTGGGTTTTTCATATTGGAGATTGAATCCAGGGGCACTCTGCCACTGAACTACACCTCCGGTCCTTTTTATTTGATTTTAATTTTTAAATTGTTTGGGTACTGGGAATTGAACTCAGGGGCACTTAACCACTGAGCCACATCTCTGTCCCTGTTGTGTATTTTATTTAGAGACAGGGTCTCACTAGCACCTTACTGTTGCTGAGGCTGGCTTTGAACTCTAGATCCTCTTGCCTCATCCTCCTGAGCCACTGGGATTACAGGTGTGTGCCACCGTGCCCGGCTTCATTTTTTAAGACAGGGTCTTGTTGAATTTGCCAGGCTTGCCTGGACATGTGATCCTCTTGCCTTATCTTCTGGGATCGTAGGTGTGTGCCACCACACCTGGCATACTCTTTTAATAGCAGTTATATCATATTGCACTGCATTTTATTTAATTTATGTAAAACACTTGCACCCTTTAGCCTCAGAACCCCCAGTGCTCCCTGCATGATTCCTGGTACCATGTGTTGTCTGTGTTGGGATGAGGCTACCATTTTCTCCAGCTTTGTGGAAGCATAAGGTCATGGTGAATGGACATTTGATTTTTCATTTCAGGCACCAGTGACTTTTGGGGACTTGGCTATCTACTTCTCCCAGGAGGAGTGGGAATGGCTAAGCCCCATTCAGAAGGATTTGTATGAAGATGTCATGTTGGAAAACTACAGGAACCTGGTCTCACTGGGTAAGGCCCTTCTCTCCATAATCCAGAAGAAGCCTATTAAGGGACATTTGTCAATTAGGGTCTAGTTAGGGAAATGGATGCTAATCCAGTTGTGGTACTTATTTGTTTGTGTTGGTTTTTTGCTTTTCTTTTTATTTTTTAACAGTTCTATTATATCATTCACTTAAAATATAGTTTGTCTATATGAAGTACATAATTCAGTGTTTTTGTTGTATTAACAGAGTTGTACAGCCATCACAACCAATTTTTCTTTCTTTCTCTCATTTCTTTATCTATCTATCTAGCTAGCTAGCTATTTATTCATTCATTGGTACTGGGGATTGAGCCCAGGGGCACTTAATTACTGAACTACATCCCCAGACTTTTGTTTTTGCTACTGGGGATTGAAGTCAGGGACACCTGACCACTGAGCCACCTCCCCAGCTCTATTTTGTATTTTACTTAGAGACAGGGTCTCACTGAGTTGCTTAGTGCTTCACCATTATTGCTGAGGCTGGCTTTGAACTTGCAATCCTCCTGCCTTAGCCTCCCGAGCCACTGGGATCACAGGTGTGCACCACTGCACCTGGCATTTTTTTGTTTTGTTTTAAATTTTTTTGTAGTAGTAGATGGGTAGAATTCCTTTATTTTATTTGTTTCATTTTTATGTGGTGCTAATGCTCGAACCCAGTGCCTCATACATGGAAGACATGGAAGGTAAGTGCTTTGCCGCTGAGCCCCAGCCTTTTTTTTTTTTTGGAGACAGGGTCTTGCTAATTTGCTTAGTGCCTCACTAAGTTGCTGAGGCTTCCCATCCTCCTTCCTCAGCTTCCTGAATTACTGGGATTACAGGCATATGCCACCTGCCTGGCCACACAGTGAATTTTAGAATGTTTTCATTGCCCCTGAAGAAAACCAATACCCATTAGAATCACTCTTCTTTCCCTGCTCACCTGATTTACCAGGTTAGATGACTGCTATTCTTCCTCCTATCTCTATGAACTTGCCTGTTCTGGGGCTTGCATACAAATGGAATCTAAAGTATGTAGTCTCTTTGACTTAGCATAGTTTTTGAGGTGCGTCTATATTATAGCATGTATCAGAACCCCATTCCTGTTCATTGCCACGTAGTGTTTCCTTGTGTGGATAGACCACATCTCGTTTGTTCGTTCACTCATGAGCTCCCGGGTGTTTGGGTCATTTCCACTCTGCTGTGAACATTCATATGCCAGCACAGGGGTTCATATTCTGAGGAGAAGGGGAGTTGCACTGCCTGTTTGGTTTTTACTTCTGAGGGAGCCAGAGGCTGCTAGTTCTGGGAGTGCAGGGACAAAAAGAAAACCAGAGATGGAAGTCAGCAGAGCCCCTTTGGTGGACACTGAGTGGAAGCAGCTGCTAAAGTCCGACCCTAGTGTGACAAAGCCGAGCATAGAAGGGTAGAGCTGAGAGACAGTAGCCTACTAACCCATCTTCGAGCATCTGACCTCCTTGTTCAGGAAAATAATTGGTTTTGTGGAGTTAGAATGGAGCACTCTATTGGCTATAGCTGAGTGTGCATCCTCCTGGTATAAGACTTTAAAAACCAAACAATTTCTCCAACTGTCACTCACCACTCAGCACAGAACAGTGTGATGCCCCACGTGTTTGGAGTTTTCACCACACACCAGGCGATTCTCATGCCTGGCTGACAGTCCAGCTCTGGCACTACCTGGAGATGCATCAAACCCACAGCCTGGGGGCTTCATCTCCTAAGACTGCCTCATCTGGCAACTCAGGCCTCTGGGATTTCTGACCAACCCAACTATAAATTTGGGGTTCCCGTGAGTCCCCTCCTCAGGTTTTACCCCAGAACTCAAGAAAGCACATTACTGAGGCTTTACCAGTTAAATATCAAGATATGTCAGGATGCAGATGAAGAGCAGGAGAAGAGATGCAGGGGGCAAGGTGAGGGCAAGGTGAGGGGAAGGGGTGTGGAGCTTCTGCTCCCTCTCTGGTGGTCCACCTCCACAGGTAAGCAACAGGAAGCTCTCCCAACCTGTCTTTTTGGGCCTTGTCGAGGCTTCATATGTGGTCCTGATTGATGAGATCACTGGCCATCAGTGATCTCTGTCCAGCCCCTGTCCTTCTCCAGAGTTCTGGGGTGAGATGAAAGTCCCATCCCTCTGATCACATACTGGGATCCTCTGACCCATGTGGAGGCTCCCAGGAGTACCTGGCCACCAGTTATTTTCTAGGGTTGAGGGTTTATGTGTCTTACAAGTCACAGGATCACAGTGCCCATTCTCCAGCTGCCCTCTGTGTCCTGTGTGCCCCGCTGGGCTGGTACACCCTCACCCCTTTGACACAGGGCTTGGCCCCGACTGTGGTGCTGACAGTGAGCTCAGTTCCATGCTTGTCCTATGTGCAGGTCTTTCCTCTCGAAGGCCAAATGTCATTGCCTTACTGGAGAAAGGGAAAGCACCCTGGATGGTGGAGCCTCCAAGACGACGCCAGGGCCCAGGTGAGTGACCAAGGGCAGGGCCTACTTCTTACAGTTCAAGCTACTGTACCAGATGCTGGGTGGTTCATGAACAACAGAAACTCACGTCTCACAGTTGGAAGTTCAGTAGTGCCTGGGGAAGGCCTGCTTCCTGTCATACACGACCGCCTTCTGTGTCCTCTGGAGCTGGAGCAGAGAGGAAGCTTCTGCTTTCTCTTTTAGTAGGACTCCACTAGTGACCTGATTACCTCCAGAGGTGCCACCTCCACATGACATCCCCTGGGGGAGAGGATTTAGACAGACAAATCTGGGCCAGACCTGCGTTTGGTCTGCTGTCGGCATTTTCTCTGCTGTCATGTAGGCACATTCTGCATGAGAGCCAGGCAGTCCTGAGGGGCAAGCTCTTGAAGCCCCGGGAGCCCACTTCACATGTCCATACCCAGGCCTGTGCCGAGAGGCCAGCCTAGATTCCTCCTTGGCTTCTCCTCAGTCATCGAGTTTCTCCTTGGACGTGGGACACCTGTGCCAGGAGTAGGGATCAGCAGTGTGGTGTAAGCCAGGCAAGGAGGCCACCTGCTGAGGCATCGAGCTTTGGAGACTTCTGGTTTCTTAGGGTACGAATTAAAAGAAGCCAGATGGCAGCACAGGGAAAACAGTAGGGCTCATGTTTTGACATTAAAAGAAGAAATTTCCTTTATCAAAATACTGTTTTTTAAATTACATAAAGTTCAGAGAAAGGAAAAGATGAAAAAAACAGCTACCTGTGGTTATTGGTAACTATACTTATTTTTTGAAAATTATCATAGTCATAAAATTCATATATTTCTGCTGTTTTCACAAGTTTTACTTGAAATATTCTATTAATAATCTCATTCCATTTTCTATTTAGATTCAAATTTCACATTAATGTCAACATGAGTGTGTGATGTGTGTATTTGTGTGCACACACTATGTGCACTTTTGCCCTTTTTGCTGTAGGACTGAGTCACAGGAACGGGATTGCTGGGTCAAAGGGTAGGATCACTTTTCAGACTAAATATTTCTGAATTGTGTTATAGATTTGTCAGCTTGCTAGCCCCCAGTAAAAACTCTGGGCACTAACTCTAGGTATTTTTCTTGTGGACAACATTTCCTGTGTTTGGTCGGCCATAGTTTATTGCTTGTGAATCCATAGGAAGCTTGTGCTTCATTTCCACTGGACCTTGCCCCATTAGCCCACTCCCTTTGCTGATTCTGCTCTGTACTCTTTCACTGTAGTGGATCCCAGCCATTGGTCTAACAGATCAGCACCATGGACAGAAACAAAGCACAGTGTCAGTTTGATTTTCATACTCACAATACTGGATATTCTCATTAAAAACTTTTCTCAGCTGGGGTTGTGGCTCAGCGGTAGAGTACTCGCTTAGCACGTGTAAGGCCCTGGGTTCGATCCTCAGCACATAAAAATAAATAAATAAGCATATTGTGTCCAACTACAACTAAAAAATAAATATTAAAAAAAAACCCCAACTGTTCTCTTGGCTTATGAAGAACTTACTGTGTGCAGGTTCTAGGCAAAGGGCCATAGTCCCCGCAACATTTGTAGGTACCTCTGCATTCCTGGGCAACAGATGAGGATTTGAGTCTTGAGTTAAATAACTTGTCCAGGGTCTCTCATCGGGCAGACAGTGGGGCAAGGCTTGGAGCTCTGGCAGTGTTTCTTGACCCCCATATAGAGCTGCTCAATACCATACTCTCCTACCCCGTAGACCATACTGTTTTTCTTATGTACTTGCTGGCATTTGTTTTCTGATTTAACTTATTCTCTTGTAAATTGTCTCCTCATGATCTCTCTCTCTCTTTTTTGTAGTTGTAGGTGGACAGCGTGTCTTTATTTTGTTTGTTTTTATGTGGTGCTAAGGATCGACCTTATTGCCTCTCATACGCTAGGCAAGTGCTCTGCCACTGAGCTACAGCCCCAGCCCCTGATCTGTGTCTTTCTTATAGTGATTTTATGGTTCTTGCAAATAATGTCAGCTTGTATAGGGAGCTTTATTATTAAAAATACATTAACCATTATATTTTACTATTACTTTTATAGAGCTTTATGGTTATTCATAGTAGTTGGGTTCATCCAGTTAGCTCATAGTCATAGTCATGGAAATTGATTTCAGTTCATGCTACAGCCCTTCTCTCCCCCTTTCCCTCCAGCCCTCCCTCCCCTCTCCCCTTCTCCCTCTTCTTTTCCACTAGACTTCCTTTCACTTGTCTGTTAATTTGTATTTGATTGGTTCTTTATGTAATCTTATTTTCTCCTTTTCTTTATTTTACTTCTGCTTCCACATGTGAGAGAAAACATTTGACCTTTGAGTCTCTGAGTTTGGCTAATTTCACTTAGCACGATAGTCTCCAGTTCCACTCATTTCCCAGAAAATTCCACTCTTTTTTTTTTCATAATTCTTTTTTTTTTAAAAGAGTGTGTGAGAGAGAGAGTTCTCTCTTTTTTTTTTTTTTAAAGAGTGAGAGAGAGAGAGAGAATTTTTTTAATATTTATTTTTTAGTTTTTGACGGACACAACATCTTTGTTTTTATGTGGTGCCGGGGGTCGAACCTGGGCTGCACGCATGCCATGCCAGGTGAGCGCGCTACTGCTTGAGCCACATCCCCAGCCCTCATAATTCTTTTTAATGGCTGAGTAGAACTCCGTGTGTGTGTGTGTGTGTGTGTGTGTGTGTGTGTGTGTTATCACAAATTCTGAATCCATTCATCTGTTGATGGGCATCTGGGTTGATTTCATAGTTTAGCTCTTGTGAATTGTGCTGCTATAAACATTGATGTGGCTGTGTCGTTTTAGTGAATTGTGCTGCTATAAACATTGATGTGGCTGTGTCGTTTTAGTATGCTCATTTTAGATATTTTAGGGAAACACCAAGGACTGGGATAGCTGGGTCATATGGTGCTGCCATTCCTAGTTTTTTTAAACAAATCTACAAACTGCTTTTCAGAGTAGTTGGACTAAGCAGCAATCCTAACAATGTACAAGTCTTCCTTTCTCCCCACAGCCTCTCCAGCATTTATTGTATGTGTTCTTGATCATTGACATTCTGACTGGAGTGAGATGAAATCTTAGTGTAGTTTTGATTTGCATTTCCCTAATTGCTAGAGGTATTGAACATGTTTTTCATGTATTTACTGGCATTTTGTGTTTCTTATTTTGAGAAGTTTCTGTTTGGTTCTTTTGCCTATTTGTTGATTGGGTTGTTTGGGTGTTTTTGGTGTTAAGTTTTTTGAGTTCTTTGTGTATTTTGGATATTTAATCTCCTATTGGAGGAGTAGCAGGCCAAGATTTTCTCCCATTTGCAAGCTCTCTCATCATGCTCTTAGTTCTTTCCTTAGCTGTGCAGAAGCTTTTTATCTTGAGAGTATCCCACTTATTTTTTTTCTTAATATTTTTTAGTTGTCAGTGGTCTTTTATTATATGTGGTGCTGAGGATCCAACCCAGGGCCTCACACAGGCCAGGCAAGTGCTCTACCACTGAGCCACACCCCCAGTCCGATAGTATCCCACTTACTGATTGTTGGTTTGTTTCTTGTGTTTTGGGCCTTGTTCAGGAAGTCTGTGCCAGCACCTACACGGTGGAGGGCAGACCCTGTGTTTTCCTCGAGCAGTTGTACAGGTGTCCAAAAGCCCCCTGTGGCTACCATGCTCTGTTCCTCCCAATTCACAGCAAATCATTACTTATACTCAACCATATGTGGAAACTGTCACAAAATTTGCAAGATTTAAAACAACAAGAAAAAATAAAAAATAACCCTCCACAAAGTATGTAAACTGAAACATCATGCTTTGAGAGAATTATCTTAGAAAAGAAAAAGTGGTTATAACAGTTTTATTTACCTTTTAACTTCTGCTGGATCTCTAATTTTCCTAGCCTTATATTTAAAATGTAGGTTTCAGGACCTACAAGATTTACTAGGCTTATGAAAAACCAGTTAAGACAAAAGGAAAAAAGTGTCTCTTTTAAATCCAAGCTGCTTGGCTGGCTGTCTTATCTGTTTTCAGCCAGCTTTCTTAACTAGTTCCTCCCTAATGTTACAACACGGAAAGAAAAAAGTAGAAACATTCTAAATGTATACGCTTTCTTTTTGAAAATAGGTGAAACACTACATGAGAATCCACTCTGCCACCTTCCCTGCCTCTGCACCTTGTCTCTGTCTCCTCTTTTATTATTATTCTTTACATATAGATTCTAGTGTAATTCCTAAGTGTCTGATCCATTTTTATTTGCATTCTGTGCACGTGAAAGATAGAGGTCTAATTTCATTTTTCTACATATAGCAGTCCAGTTTTCCCAGCACCATTTGTTAAAAGGCTATCTTTTCTCCAAGATGTATTTTAGCACTTTTTCAATATCAGACAGCTGTAGGTTTGTGGGTCTGTCTGCCTCTTCTGTGCTGTTCCACTGATCTTCCCGACTGTCTTGTGTAGTACATGCTGTTTTTGTCATTGCAGCTCTATAGTGTGATTTAGATCACATGTTACGATGCCTTCTACTTCTGCTGCTTCTGTGATGTTGTCCTCTACTTTTCTACTTCTGCTTTTCTTGCTTAGTATTATTTTGGATATTCTGAGTCTCTTATTCTCCCAAAGGGATTTAAGAAATTTTTCCTTTCTAATTCTGTGAGGAATATCATTGGTATTTTTATGGGGATTGCATTGGATCTGTATATTGCTTTTGATAATATGGCTGTTTTGACAATATTAATTCTGTCTATCCAAAAACATGGGATGTTTTTCCATCTTCTAAGGTCTTCAATTTATTTCGTCAGTGTTCTATAATTTCCATTTTCATTGTAGAGCTCTTTTACCTCCTTGGTTAGGTTAATTCCCAAGTTGCGGTGGTTTTTTTTTTTTTTTGGAGGGGCGGGGTATGGATCTTGTACATATGGGATCTTATCACCAGCAAACAGAGATAGTTTGACTTCTTTTCCTGTTTGCATCCCTTTGATTTCCTTTCCTTGCCTGATTGCTCTGGCTAAGA